GTGCATTAGGCCAGGAGGGGCCTGAGGGCTTGGGGGGGATTGGGGGGGTCTGGGGGGGCCCGGCTTACCCCGCGTCCTGTGCTTCATGCGCTCGGAGTATCGATAACAAGTTATTGTGCTGTAGGAATTCACACACGGCCGGGTAGCTGCCGGAGACACAGGGAAGCACGTCAGGGGCGGCCGCCAGCCCCAGCCCGGCCGTCCAGACGGTGTCCAGCGCGAGCCCAGCCCTCGCCAGCGGGGCGACGCGGAGGCCAGGGCCTGGCCGCGGCCTGCGGACACCCCGGCAAAGGACCTGGCTGCGCCTCTCACGTGCGCTTTCTGGCCGATGTCGTCCTCCGCCCCCGGCAGCTTCGGCTGCCCACGCCCTGCCCCACCTTGATGTGAGGCCCGCGGCGCCGGCTGCCCCAGAGCCCCCGTCGTGACCGGGAGGGCGCCTCCCACTGACCGGCGCCGCCTCCACTCCTGAGACTCCGTCTGTCACCCGAATAGAAGGACCAGGGCGCGCTTGGGAACCGGGCTGGGAGTCGCGGAAGTGTTGGGGGGCTGCGCCGGGGCTCAGCACCTGCTCTGTGCCGCTCACCGGCCTCACGGAGGCCGGGCAGCGGAGCGGGGGACTCGCGAGCAGGAAGCTGCCGCGGCCCCCACAGCCGCAGGCGGCCCCGGGCTCCCTCTGTCGGCCTCTGCCCAGGGAGGGTCATGGCTGCTGCCAGGAACTCGAAGGCCGCCGACGCTGGTCGCCCCGCCCCGCTCCTGGGAGCTTCCTCGCAAGGCCGAACCCCAATGGCACGGGGCGGCTCCGTCCCCAGAGCCGCGGCCGTGTCCGAGTGGAGGGCTGAGGCGTCGCCTGGCCGGAGGCCACGCTGCGGGTCTGGCCGGACCTTGTGCCAGATCAGCCTCCCACTCTCCTGACTCCAAACCAGCAAAGCGCCACGGTGGGCTCGACCGTGGGCCGGCACCGAGCCGCGGGCAGCTGCACGGCCGAGCGCCCTGGCCGGCCCCCGTGGGTCCGGACCCGCTGGCCGGGCTCAGACCAGGCTCACGTCCCTCGCTCGGGGGTGACGCATTTCCAGGACACTGACCTGCCCCACGTCTGAGCGTCCTTGCTAGAAGACCCCCTGAATTTCCTAGCCCCGAACGGGGACCTCGGGCCGCTCGACACCCCACGTGGGGGTCGCCTTGGCCGAGCCTGAGCCGAGCCGAGCTTCCCGGCACGGATGGGGCATGAGCCCCTGGGCCAGGCAAACCTGCTGCCGCGCGGCGAGGCCCGTTGCCCCCTGGGGGTGCCCCGCGAGGGCTGGGACCTGGCATGGACGGGCCCCGATTTCAAGCTGTCGTGGAAACGTCTGAAATGTTCTCGACGTTTAGTTCCCAGCTTGTCCCGAGCACGTGCCCGCTCTCCGGAACATGCCCAGGAGCGGCAGGCAGGAGCCCGGCCGGGCGCGGGGTGACCAGGGCCAGCGAGCGCGGGTTTGTCCCGGAGGCCGGCGGCCCCTCGTTGGGGGCCGGGGGCGCCGGCTGCAGTGGCCTCGGAGCCCGGGACGCTCGGGAAGACGCAGGGAAGCCGCGAGCGTGACTCTGACTGAGGGTGAAGCGGCTCCCCGGCCGACGGGAGCCCTCGTGGCTGGCGGCCAGCGGGGCCCCCTGCGCTCCCCGCTGCTCCCGTCGCAGCCCCTGCCCGTCGCCCCAGCCCGTCTGCAGCGTCCCGCAGCCAAGGGCCCCCTCACCTGTAGAAGTAGGAGCACCCCCGGACGGTGTTGTGCGTGAAGTGTTCCTGAGTCTTCTCGTTGCCGAAGTCCTCCAGGGGGTCGGACCACAGGATGTCGCACATGGGGCCGTAGGCAGGCGGCTCTTTGAATCGGTCTAACTGAGGGGGCGGAAGACAGCAGCGCGGTGACCGGGCGCTCAGGGCCCAGAGGCAGCCAGATGGGCAGTGGGCACCTGTGCGCCCCGTGTGTGTGGGCCTCCGGCCTCGCCCCAGCCTCCCGGCCCAGCCCCAGCCTCTGCCCTGCCTCCAGCTTCCTGGTCCCGCCCCAGCCTCCAGGCCCCGCCCCAGCCTCTGGCCCCGCCTCCAGCTTCCTGGTCCCGCCCCAGCCTCCCGGCCCCGCCCCCAGCCTCTGCCCTGCCTAGTCCTTCCCAGCCCTGCCCAGCCCTGCCCAGCCCTGCCCGAGTCACCCCGGACCTGCCGGTGCCCCTCAGGCCTCCGGCTTCCTAGTCCCGCACTGAACCTCCCCACCCTGGCTCCTCTCCCGCCACATGACCGCCCATGGACGTGACTGCCCAGGCCTGAGCTGGGCTGGGACCTCACCACACCTAAGGGCAACCACCGCGCCTCCACCACCCCATGACTGGCCTGGCTGGACACCTACAAGTATCACAACGGGGATGGACGGCGCCCGCAGCTGCCTGCCCGGGGCCATCCGAGGGGCAGCCAGCAGGACACGGAGCTGGCGCTCGGCCCCACCGCAGCCTGGCCACAGCAGGTCCCCGCAGCCCCCCGCAGCGCCGTCTCCACAACACGGCCGCTTTCTTCAGGTTTATTCTGATTTTCCTGCAAAGTGAACTGCCAGGACAGCGGCCACGTGGCCCACCAGGCGCCAGCCTGTCTTCCTCATGGTCAGTCTGGGCAGGGCCAACGAGGGGAGAAACCGTCCGGTTTCTCCACAGGTGCCGAGACCGGGGCTCTGCTCCCCACGTGGTTTCTTTAAGAATGGAGCACTGCGAGAAGACCCCGCACCGCGGCCCTGCGAGCACAGACCAGCTGTTGGGGGCGGTGCCCGCTGGCGCCTTGGGCATAACCCACCCGGGCGAAATAACACTCCCGCAGAAGTGCAGACTCTCCCCGAGAAACGCGGGCCGGCCTGGGGAGACGAGAAGGCCGCAGTGCCGCCGGGCGTCCCGCGTCCCCCGCTGTGGGGCCTCACAGCACGGAGCCC